TAAGTCTCATGGTCATGCCTTTGCTATATGGACCACGTCTCTTGTAAAACCTACTGTGAGCCAACTAGCTCCAATCGCCGCCTCGTCTATCTTGTCTCTATACCTAATACCAAGTCTATGACTTGCCATTCCCTAGATGCTTGTGTGCCAACCCAAAAATGTTGGGGGGGTTAACAATAGTCGTGATTCAAGTATCACGTTTATGATTAAACACGTCTATTGTTAGCCAAATAGCTTTAGTCTTTCCTGTTTCTATCTGTAATACCATACCTATCATTTCCTACATCCTAGTCTCTTGTGTGTCAATCCACAAATGTCGTGGTTCTACTTGTTTTGATAAGGCTTACTGAAGGCGTCTCCTCTTTGCTTCTGATTCTTCCTTTCTCTTCCCCTTGCGATCTATTTTCTTAAAATTAAGGATATTACCTTGATCCAGTCGTCTTCTTTTTGCTGATGTTCCTGTTGCCTGGTCTTCTCCTAGTTTGTTTAGGCAATATGCAAAGTTTTCGCTGATCCTGCCTTTTTCAAGTCTCTTATTCATTAGATTTCTCTCACTCAGTATACCAATGACCTCTGGGATCTTGCGTTTTCTCGTATTTTCAACATATGCATCCAACCTTTCGGTCGATTCCAGTAGATTTCGTGCCCCGTTCGTGCAATGTGTTCCGCTATTTCGGATCTTTTCGTATCCATGTTCGTGTAGATTCTTTGATGTTCCTTGATTCGTAGGCTGATTTTTCTTCCTGTTTCACCGATATACTTATGCTCACACTTGCCGCATGATGCGATAAACTCCCGAGCAATCAAGTTTGTCAGTCTTCTCGTGTTGCGTTGGCAAACCGGTGAAAAGTGTTTTATTCTCCTTTGTTATCACCTCGATATTTCATTTTCTCAATAAAGGTCACAATCTTTGGCTCAGTTGTGATGAGGGCAGGAAAATCCACTTTTGGTTGTCATCCCGATTTCTGATACGATTTTAATAAAATCCAAGTTAAAATCGGCCCTTTATAATCTCTACATTTTTTTCAATAAATGCTTTGGGGTATCCGTTACTAAGGCAGGTTGTCCAACTCCTCGTCCCAGAACTCATTGTCCGTTAGTCGTAAGCTTCTGATGATCAAACTTCTCAGTATTCCCATCTTCGGTCTGTAGTTATGATGAGACTGGAAATTAAGGATTATTCCCGCATACGAATTCTTTATGTATAGTTTCCTCATGAGTGTCCCTCTGGAGTGTATGACTTCAATATCCAGAAAGGGTAGTCGTTCATCCTGCTCCACCTCCATTGTGAATTTAATTCTATCATCACTTTGGTTAATGGAATTGAAGAATTCATTC